AAGCCTCCACATCATGTGCCACATCCCAGTCTTCTGCTGGATCACTGCTACAGTTCTGGAGGATGTGTTGGAGACCAGAGAGGGAGGAGAGCTGCCCAGAACCCTGACTGAGATGTCCATCCACTTCCTGGTGGTTCAGACCAAAGTGAAGAAGGTCAAGTATGATGGAGGAGCTGAAACAGATCCACACTGGAGTCCAGAGAGCAGGATGATGATTGAGTCTCTGGGAAAACTGGCTTTTGATCAGCTGCAGAAAGGAAACCTGATCTTCTATGAATCAGACCTGACAGAGTGTGGCATCGATATCAGAACAGCCTCAGTGTACTCAGGAGTGTTCACACAGATCTTTAAAGGGGAGAGAGGTCTGTACCAGGACAAGGTGTTCTGCTTCGTCCATCTGAGTGTTCAGGAGTTTCTGGCTGCTCTTCATGTTCATCTTACCTTCATCAACTCTGGTGTCAACCTGATGGAAGAAACACAAAGAACTAAGAAATCTTCATTACTTAATAAACCTAAACTAAAGTCTCTCCATCTGAGAGCTGTTGACCAGGCCTTACAGAGTCCAAATGGACACCTGGACTTGTTCCTCCGCTTCCTCCTGGGACTTTCACTGCAGACCAATCAGAGACTCCTACAAGGTCTGCTGACAAAGACAGGAAGTAGCTCACAGACCAATCAGGAAACAGTTCAGTACATCAAGAAGAAGATTAATGAGAATGTTTCTGCAGAGAAAAGCATCAATCTGTTCCACTGTCTGAATGAACTGAATGATCATTCTCTAGTGGAGGAGATCCAACAGTCTCTGAGTTCAGGAAGTCTCTCCACAGATAAACTGTCTCCTGCTCAGTGGTCAGCTCTGGGTTTCATCTCAGTGTCATCAGGAAAAGATCTTGATGTGTTTGACCTGAAGAAATACTCTGCTTCAGAGAAGGTTCTTCTGAGGCTGCTGCCAGTGGTTAAAGCCTCCAACAAAGCTCTGTAAGGACACAGATTGTTAATGCATTTATTTTGAGAGAGAGAAATCTGCTGATGATGACATGAACATACTTTCATGTTTCAGTTATATATTGGTGCATTGTCTTTTCAAATTGTCCCATTGGGGGGTTACGCAAAAAGGAAACAGACTTCCTTCAGCACCTGGAAGAGTGTTACATATCAAAGCAGCATAACTCCTCCACTGTTAAAATTTAAATTGGATTAATAAAGTTAATTGTGGAAATGCATAATGCTCTTTCCAACCTCTTTGTTACCTGTAGTTCAGTCCTTTTAGGCTGGAGGTAGAAAAACTATAGAATTGACAACAAATGGAAAGGTTGTGTAAAATAACATAGTTCTTTCTCTCTCCAATAAAAACATTGTTGATTTGAATGAACATATATTTTTATGAATTGTTTAACAGATTTTCCTTCCCGTCTCCTCAGACTGAGTTACTGTAACCTCTCAGAGAGAAGCTGTGAAGCTCTGTCCTCAGTTCTCAGCTCCCAGTCCTCCAGTCTCAGAGAACTGGACCTGAGTAACAACAACCTGCAGGATTCAGGAGTGAAGCTTCTCTCTGCTGGACTGAAGAGTCCAAACTGCAACCTGGAAGCTCTCAGGTAACTCTGGGCCCTTGACAAATTGTTGCATCTAAGGTGCAAAAGGAGCATAATTACAGATACCAGAAGTTGCTTGGCTTTCTTATTTATTCCACATGTTATAAATCCATCCATCCATCCGTCCGTCCGTCCGTCCGTCCATCCATCCATCCGTTCAGACCTTGGTCTCTACCTCAATGTTCTCATTTTCTCATCATGTGATGAATTGTGTGTCTGCAGCTTACCAGGCTGTTTGGTCTCAGAGGAAGGCTGTGCTTCTCTGGCCTCAGCTCTGACCTCCAACCCCTCCCATCTGAAAGAGTTGGACCTGAGCTACAATCATCCAGGAGACTCAGGAGTGAAGCTGCTGTCGGCTGGACTGAAGGATCCACACTGGAGACTGGAAGCTCTCAGGTATGGAGGAACCTGCTGCAGGAGCAGAGAAGGTCTGATAGAGGAGGAAGAGGGAGAAATGTCTTTAGTCAGTCTGCTGGGAAACATTTAGTTTGAAGCTGAATAGTTAACTTGCTGCTCAGTTTTCCATCTCTGTATCCATCAGTTAAAAAGGGAAAGATAAAATCTGAGATTCTCTCTGCTTTGCTTGAAGCTGGTGTTTTCCCTCAAACCAGCCCTGATGCTGTTATTCAGACTTGATTTCCACTGGACTCTTTCTTTTAAAACATTTAGTTTAAGGATCAATGTTTAGTTTGATAATAAAAGATTTAGTTTGGAACGATGGGATTTATAAGTGAATGAATAACATGGTGAAAATATAACTTGATATTCTGAACATCCTTTTGTCTCTTATGATATGCAGGACTATTTTTGTCATAACCAACAAAAATTCCTTTTTCACAACATGGATCCAACTTTTTCTTGTCATATTTATATGCATAACATTCAGATCCAAACGTTCTCATTTTTGAAAGGTCTGGTTTCTTTTCAGTTAACATGTAATACGGAGTTACGTCTGTTGTAACATCTATTACGGATAATAGCAGCCATCTGAACTGCATATGTCCATAAATCTTTAGGCAGATTACTTTCAATTAGCATTTATCTTGCCATTTCAAAAATAGTTCTCCATGTTCTCTCAGCTGTCCCATTTTGATGGGGAGAATAAGGGGCTGAAGTTTCGTGTCTAATGGCATTTTGACTAAGCAATGATTGGAACTCTCTGGACATAAATTCAGTTCCATTATCGGATCTTATACATTTAATTTTTCCATGAGGTGCCACATCTGCAATAAAACTTCTCTGTTCCTTTAACAGCATCACTCTTAGCTTTCAGAAAATAGATAAAGATAGCACCTGAAAAATCATCTGTAAAAGCTAAGGTATATCTAAACCCATCTTTAGCAGCTGGTTCTATTGGTCCAGCCAGATCTGCCTGTACAAGATAATGAACCTTTACTTTTTTCATCAGGATCTCTATTTCTGGTCTGAGCAAATTTACCTTTTATGCATACTTCACATTTCAGATCAGGTTTTTCATTTTTACCTCTAATTTTAATTCCATCTACAACACTTTATAACTTTGACACATCATCATAGTTACAGTGACCTAAAATTTCATGCCACGTTTGGATGTCATAGCAGCCATTGCACTCATCAACATCATCTGCAACAGTATTTAAATAAAACATTCTATCATAAACATCAATATCAAAAACCATACCATTTTTATGGCTGAGCCTGTTCTGTCCATCTTTGAAGATGACTGTCGCTCCTTGGGCAGTTGCGGCTTTAACCGAAAAGATGTCCTGAGAAAATGATGGCACTTATAAGGTGTCCATCAACATTATCTCCACAATTTGACCGTTGCTGTCTCTCAAATGAACTCTGGCGGTGCCCTTCTTCAGTGCGATGCCACTGGTCCTCACGCCGTCAGCCAACTCCAAAATATGGCTCTGAGGCTTAAAAGTCAAGTCAAAATTCTTGAATTTAGCAGCGTCTGTCACAATGTGCTTTGTTGCACCCGAGTAGACCATAAGGCCTTTCACCTTCATGCCATTGATCTGGGTGTCAGTGATCTGCTTCACCTTGAAAGTGAACGTATGGTCCTCCTCATCCATTGCTTGCTGGATCTTGTCTCTCCTTTTCCACCGACAATTTGCGTCCTTATACGTGGCGCTCTTGCAAAAACTACACCACTGTTTCGGCTCTCTGCGCTCTCCTGAGGTTGAAGTACAATCCAGGGCTTTGTGCCCTCTCTGGCCGCATTTGTAACAGGTGAGTTTCATACTCCAATTGTCTCTTCCTTTAACTTTCATCACGCTATCTTCCACTGAGCCAGCAACACATAACTTTTCTGTGCTCTCATAGCTTCTTAGCTTCGTTTTAAATTGGGAAAAAGTTAACTCTTCATCACTCTGTGTAACATAAACAGAGAATGGTTTAAACTCATCAGGCAGGCCTTTTAAAATCATTGCCATCAGCAGGCCATCACTTAAAACTTCTCCTGCATTTCGCAGCGCTGTAAAATTTCTGCTTGGATAATATAGTCAGTGACGTTCTCATTGACACCTTTCTGAAGTGACGTCAGCTCCGTATACAGACTAATCACTCGTGGCTTACCCGAACCAGCATAGTGATCTCTGAGGATCTTCAAGGCTTTTCTGCCGTCATCCACAGCATCTCTCATGACAAGCAAAAGACTCTTATCGTCCAAGACTTGAATTAGTTCTGCACACGCCTCTTCATTTTTGTAGCGTTTTTCTGCATCATCGGGTTCGTCCTTCAATAATATGGTGTTTTTCAGTTCAAGCAGACGTAAGTGGGCCAAAAACTTGGTTTCCCACAACTCATACTTCTTTTCATCTCCATCAAAGCATAATCAGTTCCATTGGCTTCCAAACTCCTTCCTGGGCCCCTAACCTGTTGACGCTGCCATCTTTAAAGGGCTGGAAATGGCGGGTAGAGACGGAGGAAAAACAACACAGCCTTTAGCTTCATTTGGCCTGAATGCAGTGCAGTGCTGTGCGGTGCAGCCTGTGGCCTTTTATTAACAGATTTCACACACCTGTGTAAATCCCCGCCCACAACAGGTAATCAGCAAGAACACCAACAAGATTTAACATGATGAAATAACAGATTGTCCTCTCTGTCTCCTCAGACTGAGTGTCTGTAACCTCTCAGAGAGAAGCTGTGAAGCTCTGTCCTCAGTTCTCAGCTCCCAGTCCTCCAGTCTCAGAGAACTGGACCTGAGTAACAACAACCTGCAGGATTCAGGAGTGAAGCTTCTCTCTGCTGGACTGAAGAGTCCAAACTGCAACCTGGAAACTCTCAGGTAACTCTGGACTCTTGACAAATTGATGCATCTAAGGTGCAAAATTACACATCCATCCGTCCGTCCGTCCGTTCAGACCTTGGTTTCTACCTCCATGTTCTCATTTTCTCATCATGTGATGAATTGTGTGTCTGCAGATTATCAGGCTGTTTGGTCTCAGAGGAAGGCTGTGCTTCTCTGGCCTCAGCTCTGACCTCCAACCCCTCCCATCTGAAAGAGTTGGACCTGAGCTACAATCATCCAGGAGACTCAGGAGTGAAGCTCCTGTCGGCTGGACTGAAGGATCCACACTGGAGACTGGAAGCTCTCAGGTATGGAGGAACCTGCTGCAGGAGCAGAGAAGGTCTGATAGAGGAGGAAGAGGGAGAAATGTCTTTAGTCAGTCTGCTGGTTTTCCCAAGGTTTGTTCCTGGAAGCTGCTGCTGGTTCCTCCAATCCAGGCTCCGCCCCCTTTAGAGGAAATCTGTCCATATATGGCGCTAAGAGTCACCTTGATGCTGCAAAACTTTGTTCAGGGATGAGATGTCAGGATGTTGGTGTCAGTCTGTTCCAGGCGTTAGTTGTTCTCCTCATGAGGAGCTGAAGTCTCTGACAGGAATGTGGAGCTGAACAGGAGAAGAACTTGAAGCTTCTTCTTGGCCTCTGATTGCAACAGCAGGACAATCCAACATTTTAGTCTGACTTCATCTGGAAATATTTCTTTGACCCTCAATCAGTGTGAAGGCAGGCCAGCTCCTCATCAGAGCTGAGATCTTCTCTGTCATCTGTGTGTGGGAGTGTGGATGGATCAGGTATCCAGGTGTTGATCAGAGTTTAGATTGATTGTATTTTAATGCTGATTATTAAATCAGGTTGAGCTTCCAGAAATGTTTCCTTAGTTTCCTGATGTCCTTTTAGGCTTCAGTGAGTTTCTTCAGGTTGTTACTGAGGGATTTCCTTTCTCCTCTCTGTTGGAGCTTTTCCTGTGTTTGGAGAAATGAGTTGTGCTGCAGCAGCACCAACTGTCCTTCCTACATCCACTGCAGTTTGCAATCCAGATGTTGGACTGTTCCTGTCTCAGTGGAGGACAATGTGTGTCTGAGAGACATGTAATGTCCATGTTTGCTGCTGAAAGAGACTGATGTTCTGACCCCCCTCCTCCTTTCAGGTGGAGCCTGCTGGAGGCCGATTCTTGACTCCAGGTCTGAGGAAATGCAAGTGTGTTTTTCATCTGATTCATAACAACAAAGCAGCTCACATTCAACCATCTTCAAACTGTCACATCACTCATTCAGGAGTCAAAGTGTCAATAAATGATCAATAACTGCAGCTGGATTGTGTTTGTTCTCTCCATCAGATTCCTGTCAACTCACCGTCGACACAAACACAGTGAACAGAAAACTCAAACTGTCTGAAGACAACAGGAAGGTGACACATGTGGAGAAGCTTCAGTCATATCCTGATCATCCGGACAGATTTGATTACTGGTATCAGCTGCTGTAGAACTGGTCTGACTGGTCGCTGTTACTGGGAGGTCGAGTGGAAAGGAGATGTTTATATATCAGTGAGTTACAGAAGAATCAGGAGGAAAGGAGACAGTATAGACTGTATGTTTGGATATAATGATCATTCCTGGAGTCTGAGATGCTCTGATGTTGGTTATTCTGTCAGACACAATAACATAGAAACTCGTCTCTCCTCCTCCTCTGTCTCTAACAGAGTAGCAGTGTATGTGGACTGTCCTGCTGGCATTCTGTCCTTCTACAGAGTCTCCTTTGACTCACTGATCCTCCTCCACACCTTCAACACCAGATTCACTGAACCTCTGATTCCTGGATATGGGCTCTGGTCCAGTTCTGGTTCTTCAGTGTTTCTGAGCTGATTTGAGTCTAAAGAGTCTAAAGCAGGGTCACCAACATTTTTGAGACTGGAAGCTACTTCACGGGTACAGAGCAACACGAAGGGCTACTTGTTTGATACAGTCTTTATAAGTGCATATATATACACACACACACACACACACACACACACACACACACACACACACACACACACATATATATATATATATATATATATATATATATATATATATATATATATATATGTGTATAGCTGACTGGATAGCTCAATAGAGAAGGCATCAGTATATCACCCGACAGGGCGGGGTTTGAATCCAGTCTGGGTCCTTAGGCAAGACCCTTCAAGCTACTGCCTACCTCATACCATGAGAGATACTAAGTTGCGTAACATGCCGGCCAAACAAGGTCTGCGTCAGGTGTTGGGGAACCAGAGCACCTTGATGACAAATGGGCTACTGGAACAAGACGGAAATGGGCGAGAGATGAAAATGTGGATCTGTTGGAATGCTACTACTCAAGTAACCCTAGTCAGAGAGGTTACATGTAAAGACTGGGGAAGGAATGGTTACTTCGACATCCCCAGTCAACACTAAGTGCTAAACAACTAGTAGCTCAGTGTTCCAACATCCGCAAACGGCAACTGCTATCACAACTTGAGATTGACGAGATACAACACAAATGCTACGGCAAAAGGGAGGAACCAGGATGTCAGGACTGTGGGGACTTAACTACAAGTCCCCACCCAGTGAGGGGATACACGGCCCCAATGAACGAAACAGAGCTGAACGAGACAGCTGCTGACCTGAGAGAGAGAATCATGACCCAAATGACAACCAGGCCTCCTCGGCGCCAATTACAAAGGCTGAGTGAAGTACCATCAGAAAGTCTCATTGAGAATGTGAATGCAGCATTGAGAACGATCCCTACCAACACCATAACAGAAACCAATGAGCTGATCTACAACTCAGCATCAGTGATCCTTGAGATACTTGGCTATAAGAGCAACCATGAGACCCAAGACGGTTAGAGGCTAAAATCAAGGTAACAAGGAGGGAAGTGAGCCAACTGTCAGAACTCCACAAGGGTACAATGAAAAGACCAGTACCCAGAAAGTACAGGCAGATGCCCATACCTGAAGCACTTGAAACTGCCAAACAGAGGCTCCAAGCCTTGGCCAGCCGCCTAAAGAGATACACAAGGGAGAATGAATCCAGAAGGATTAAACGGCTCTTCTCCACTCAACCAGCTAAGGTGTACTCTCAATGGCAGGGTAATAACAACAGAGCAGACCCACCAAGGCTGGAGACTGAACAATACTGGAAAGGCATATGGGAAAGGGAGGCGTCTCTCTACGAGAAGACCACAACAACCTCCCTGAGCAAGCCCCGGTAACCATCACTGTGACAGATGTCCAAGAAAGACTTTCAGGCATGAAAAATTGGACAGCACCAGGGCCTAACATGATACATGCCTACTAGCTAAAGAAACCCACTGCTCTCCATGCGCGAATGTCAACCCAAATGAACCAGATACTACAAAGTAGGACTCACCCTGAATGGTTAACTGAAGGGCGGACAATCCTAATCCAGAAGGATCCATCAATCCAGTCCACCCAACTACCGACCCAATAACCTGCCTCTCCACAACCTGGAAGCTCATGTCAGGCATCATAGCGGCCAAGATAAGCAAACACATGGATAAACACATGAGCACGGCACAGAAGGGTATCGGTGTAAATACCAGAGGAGCCAAACACCAACTCCTCGTAGACCGCACAGTTGTCCGAGACTGCAAAACCCGACACACCAACCTGTGCATAGCTTGGATCGATTACAAGAAAGCCTATGACTCAATGCCGCATACTTGGATCTTTGAATGCCTAGAGATGTATAACATCAACAGGATTCTGAGAGCCTTCATTGCAAACTCGATGAGGCTGTGGAAAACCACCCTTGAAGCCAACTGCAAACAACTTGCACAAGTGTCCATCAAATGTGGCATATACCAAGGAGATGCTCTGTCCCCGCTACTGTTCTGCATAGGCCTGAACCCCCTCAGCCAAATTATCAACAAGACTGGCTACGGATACCGACTCAAAAATGGGGCCAACATCAGTCACCTACTCTACATGGATGACATCAAGCTGTATGCCAAGAGTGAGCGAGACATCGACTCACTGATCCACACCACCAGGATCTACAGCACTGACATTGGGATGTCATTCGGACTAGAGAAGTGTGGTCGGCTGATCACAAAGAGGGGGAAGGTGATCCGCACAGAAGGAGTCTCACTCCCACAAGGAACAATAGCAGACATAGAGAACAGTTACAAGTACCTAGGTATACCACAAGCAAATGGCGACCTCGATGAGGCCACAAGGAAAGGAGCCACAGCTAAATACCTCCAACGAATAAGGCAAGTCCTGAGAAGCCAGCTCAATGGCAAGAACAAAATCCATGCGATAAACAGCTATGCCCTGCCAGTAATCAGATACCCTGCTGGAATAATTAGCTGGCCAAAGGAGGAGATAAAAGCCACAGATATTAAGACTAGAAAGCTACTAACCATGCATGGAGGGTTCCATCCCAAATCCAGCACCCTGAGACTGTACACGAGCCGCAAGGACGGAGGCAGAGGACTAGTGAGTGTGAGAACCACTGTCCAGGACGAAACAACTAAGATCCATAAATACATCAGGGACAAAGCCTCAACAGACAATGTGCTCAGTGAATGTCTCAGACAACAGGGAACGGAGGTTGAGGTGCCAGAGACACCATCATGGGAGGACAAGCCCCTACATGGGATGTACCACCAGCAAATAACCCAAGTGGCTGATATCAGTAAATCCTACCAATGGCTGAAAAAAAGCTGGACTCAAGGACAGCACAGAGGCCCTCATCCTGGCCGCCCAGGAACAGGCCCTAAACACCAGAGCAATAGAGGCCCAGATCTACCACACCAGACAAGACCCAAGGTGTAGGTTGTGCAAGGAGGCCCTGAGACAGTCCAGCACATCACAGCAGGGTGCAAGATACTGGCAGGGAAAGCGTACATGGAGCGACATAACCAAGTGGCAGGTATAGTGTACAGAAACATCTGTGCAGAATATGGACTGGAAACCCCGAGATCAAAGTGGGAAACACCCCCAAAGGTGGTGGAGAACGCCAGAGCTAAGATCCTGTGGGACTTCCAGATCCAGACAGACAAAATGGTAATGGCAAACAACCAGACATTGTCGTAGTGGATAAACATCAGAGGAAAGCCGTTGTGGTTGATGTAGCAATACCAAGTGACTGCAACATCAGGAAAAAGGAGCACGAGAAACTGGAGAAATACCAGGGCCTCAGGAAAGAACTGGAGAGGGCCTGGAAGGTGAA